TGTGATGCAGTTTTGAGGGTCAAGAATAATGAAATGTTAAAGAAATTCTAATTATTTGAAAACTAGACCTTGATCCCACTCTCAATAAAGCTGATGGAGGAAAAAAATAATGAAAATATTTTTAATGTTGACATCTGAACTAACCAGGGCTACTTTTCAAAGTTGAAACTCCCTAGGATATAGCAAAATTACTGCTATTTCTGCATTCCCCATCAGTGTGCTAGTCACATATAGGTTCAGCAGTTCACCCCAATACTTGGTGTCAAGCAAAGTATCTTGACAGAGATGTTAATTTTGTTGGAGGGAAAGTCAAGGTCAAAAATAGACCTGAACTTTGAGTCTAACACAAATAGAAGTAATTATATTTTACCATTTTCTGAATTAGTCATACATGCTCAGATCTGACCCCAAGTGAGGTATGAAATTACTAGAATATTATTCAATGATATTGTGACCCAAATTAAAATGTAGGGTAAGTGGCGAAGATGAGGAAAAACACATAACTATCTAATATCTTCCATATCTTATTTTTGATACAATTAATTTATTATCTATCATAAGGCACTATGCTGAAAGCACTCTAAAGGAGGCAGTGCACACTACAGCAAAGCAGAGGCCAAAATAAAGCAAAAATTTACATGCTGTTTAACAACAAATGTTGTTTCACCTATAGTTTTAAAGCAGCTGCACATTATATTACCTTGCCAAAGACAAGAGTCCTAAATTTTCTTCCAAACCTGTCACATTTTGAATCTGTATATGGGAGCTCTTCAGAAAAAGAACACCTGTGAATTCATTGTTCACTTGTTTATCTCAGGATATGCTTTGTATGTGACAGACAGCTGGAGTAGACGCTGTTGGGTCCCAGAATAAGATTGTTTCCTTGTATATTTTGTCTGTTACATTTTATATTGTGGCACAACATTGCATTGGATCATGTTGTCATGGCAAATACACACGTGTATTTCTATACATGATATACTGAAATACATCCTATAGTATATCATTTTAGTTATAGTTAGAAGGGTGTCAGTGAGAGGCTTAAACCCACTTCCATTTGAACGGTTTGCTCACATCTTACTGGACAAGCCAAAATATCTATTATTCCTTGTGTAATGTAAATTTGGCATAACGATGAGGATTATTTAACATTTTCATTTGCTCTACCGTGATTTTTTGTGGTCCTCTTCAACTCCCCTGTATTTAAGAATGTACTTTGTATCTTAAATCTCAGGTGGGTACAATAGATCTGATTGGTGAGGCAATATGCTTAGCATCCAAAACAGGAGCGTGCTGACTCCACAGTTCTTACAGATTATTGTTCTTGTTTTTCCATGCAGCATAGAGTGTAAATTCTGGTGGGAGCCACCTACATACTCTGCAGATGAGGTGAAGAGCTAAATGGGCTTCAAATAGCAAATGAAATTATACAAAATTATACAAATAATTTTAATATTTTTGCTAATCACTCTTACTCCCCTTTTCCCCCATGTTTTTCTCTTTTATTTCACTTGCTGAAAACCTCCCCTGTCCTCACTGATTTAAAAACTCTGTTGATTATTACCTGTGAGAGAGGATTGCTATGAATATAATGTACTCTAAATAACAAAAGGACTGAATACTTACAGCAGCAATTTCCCTAGATTCTGCTGATACCTGTAAAGGACCTGAACATATGAGGTGTGGAGCAAGTCCTGAGTGTGCCCACAGCTCCCATAAATGTTAGCACTTTGTATGAGATGCTCAGCACCTCATAGGATTGGACTCAAAGCTGCATAGTCCAGATATGTAGCTGTTGGTCACTCAGCTGAGATGTTGTGTAACTTTCTGTTTGGGTAGAAACAATATATTTTGTTATAGGAAAGGAAGAGTAATCAAAAATTTTAAATGCATTATTTTTGAAATTTGCTATTTTTCATATCTAGACCACAAAAGATACTAGTTATTCTTTGCTATGTATCTTTAAGCTTGGAGCAATGAAAAACTCATTGTGACAGATAGAGAACTTCATGACATTGATGTTGCACCTGACGAATAACTTTGTCACTATCATTTGTTCTCTGAAATATTGGCTCTGACACTTTTCAGGCATGATACAAGAAAACTGTCACCTGAGAGGCTGACGGTAATAGCATAAAAAAAAGAAAAGAATAGAAAGCTTTACAACTTTTACTTGCATTCTGCTCAAAAACATTCAGCATTGGCAGGGTCATATGTTGTCAAACACTAACCCATCTCTTGCAAACTTGCTAAAAAGATTTTAGCTATATCATAGAATCATAGGGTTAGAACGGACTGCAAGAGTCATCTACTCTAACTCCCTGCCAAGATGCAGGATTTGTTGCTTCTTCACCATCCAAGACAGATGGCTATGCAGCCTCTCTTTGAAAACCTCCAGTGAAGGAGTTTGCATGACTTCCCTAGGCAGTGTGTTCTATTGTCCTACTGTTCTTACAGTTAGAAAGTTTTCCTGAGGTATAATCTAAATCTGCTATGCTATAATTTTGAACCCATTGCCTCTTGTCCTGCCCTCTGTGGAAAGAGAGAACAATTTTTATCCATCTTTTTTATAGCAGTGTTTCAAGTATTTGAAGACTGTTAACATGTCCCCCCACCTTAATCTCCTCTTTTCTAAACTAAACATATCCAGTTCCTTCAGCCTTTGCTCATATGGCTTTCATTCCATCCCTTTGATCATCGTTGTCACTCGCCTCTGTGTCCTTTCCAGTTTCTCTACATCCTTTCTCTACAGTGGTGACCAAAATTGAACACAGTACTCCAGCTGAGGCCTAACCAGTGCCAAATACAAAGGTCCTATCACCTCTTATGACTTTCTATGTCTCTGTTAATGCAACCCAAAATTGCATTTCCTTTTTTTGCGACAGCGCATTGTTGGCTTATGTTGAGGCTGTGATCCACCACAACTCCCAGATCCTTCTCAGCAGTGCTGCTGTCGAGCCAATTATCCCCCATTCTGTATTTGTGCATTTGGTGTGTCTTCCCTAAGTGTAGCTCCTTACATTTGTCTTTGTTGAATTTCATTTTGTTGTCTATAGCCAGTTCTCCAATTTATCAAGATCACTTTAATTTTTGGCTCAGCCCGCCAAGTGTTTGCAACCCCCAAGAGCTTTGTGTCATGTGCAGATTTGATCAGTATGCTCTCTATTCCTACATTCAGGTCATTAATAAAGATGTTAAATAACACCAGACCCAGAACAGATCCCTGTGGGAACCCTACTTGAAACCTCCTTCCAATCTGACATCATTCTATTAACAGTTACTCTTTGTTTGTGTTTGTTTAACCAATTATGTATTCAGTTAATGGTAGTTCTACTGAGCCCGCATTTCTCCAGCTTGCTTATGAGAATGTCATGTGGGACTGTGTCAAAAGCCTTATAAAGTCCAGGTATATTATGTCCACTACATTCTTCCTATTCACCAAACCTGTTACCTTCTCAAAGAAGTAAATCAAGCTGGTTTGGCATGATTTGTTTTTAAGTAAATCCATGCTGGCTGCAAGTGATCATCCCTTCATCCTCCAGGTATATCTAAAGTTCTGCCATTGCTGCTTTCAATTTAAATTCTCAATCAAGAAAGCAAAGAAAGCAACTTATTTGTTGAAAAAAATAAAATGATTATAATGTTGCTATCTTGTTATTAAGGATTTTCTTCTTGATCACCTCATGTATTAAATGATCTTATGTTAATGTTAATTGCAATCACAACTAAAATTGGTAATGAATATGAATACTATCTCAGTGATTACTACAGTAATCTTACGAGGACAAACGTGTTAATAAATACACTGTATTACATACTGCTCCATGGTTGTATGTATGTGAAATTTCAGATTATGTGAATTCATGCTATACTGTGCATTTTTCTTGCATATAGATATTACATTTAATTTAAAAATCAATAGGATATACTGATTTTTTTTTTTTAGTGTTCCATGCATTGTACAGTATTATAATACACTGGGTCTTATTAACAACTTCCATACAGGGATCTCACAGCACTTTACTAATATTAAGAGATTAAGTGTCACAGCACTTACCTAAATTAGGTAATCATTATTTACCCCAATTCACAGCTGTGGAAACTTAGGGCTAGAGAGGTTAAGTGATTTTTTTCAGAGTCACACTAGGAAGTCTATTGCTGAGATTGGAATACAATCATATTTCTAAGACTTCTATATATTCGCCCACCCAGTGCCCCCAAATCTGTCTTACATTTCATTTACTGTGCACGATATCCATTCTTACTTCCTTAATATTATAGAATAGATAATTCATTGAATAGATAACCTCTATTGTTAGCCAATGCTGCTTACAGTAACTAGATGTTTTTAGTTCAATGGTCTAATTTTTATAAGTATTCAAGTTGCTGTTAAGAATTAACTTACTTTCTGAATCTGTGAGGGGGAAGAATTTGGGGAGGTGCAGTTTCCATTTGGGAAGAAAAATGTAAAATAAAATTAGCCAGTCAAACCAACTCTGGAAGAAAGAAGACATAATCTAGACCTGGCTTAGATGTAGTTTCATATCTTGAGGCTGTAAGTATGCAGTCATAATGACATTTTGATAGAGTGTTACATTTTGTAACACTGGGAAACATACGGAATTTTAAATAATTTAAAATAGGATGGGAGGGGGGGGAAGCATATTTGCATGATGTAACTCAAGTACTTAATATGTAATATGGAGGTGTGTGAATTTGTTTGGTTTATGGAAGTATAGCAAGCTCTGGTTTGGGTCTCTCTTGAACAGTTCTTTAATAGTTTTACTGTTAGCCTTAAGAACAGAGTTCACTTCTCTTTCTGAGAGTTAGTGACTTACATTAGGACATAAATTGCACTTAAGAAAGTGAGGGCAAAATCAAGAAATGCATTCTTACGCTCGGGATATTCAAAGCTTATTCCTTGTAGCATTTTTTAAGGTAATCTTGTAGCACTGTTGGTGGCTTTTCATTAATTCTGAAGTACATTTTCCCCCCCAAAGGTCAACATAAGATCAAATTCATCCCAGAAATGGTTGGGCCCATGTTGGAAATGACACTGATTCCTGAAACTGAGCTTCGGAAAGCTACAATCCCAATATTCTTTGACATGATGCAGTGCGAGTTTCATTCTACCAGAAGCTTCCAAATGGTAAGCATTGTTTGGCTACAAATATTTGAGGTTTGTGAATGTGATCCAAGGACCTTTTGATGCCCACTGGTAAAAGGCACAGAGATGCATAGCGTTACAGTGATCCTCAGGGTTCACCAAAAGAGGTCATGTAAGATCTCTAAGAAAGCATGTGTCACACTGTCCATCATGGCCATTAAGAAATATATGTGGAGATAATGTGTAAGGAGTTACGTGTGTATACTGAAAACTATGTTCTTAAGTCCTTGTAGATAAACACAGGTTGCTCAGAGGTAGCATGCATTGAGACAGACTTCTCCAGACAGGAGGTGGGAGACACTTATCCCCCTGGTTGATGAATGTGTATTGTGTATTTTACAATGGAAGTCTATTGTCGTATTGAGTCAAAGCTAATGAATACACTGTAGGAAAACACACAAACAATAGGGATTATCCTGTTTGAGTAAAGACAATGAATTTTAGAAGAATAATTAAGGGTATGGCGGTACACCTGGCATCATTCATTTTGGAAGACAAGCTACTAGTGGACTTGATTTTATGAAAGGAGGATCTCAGCCATCTTGGTTGAAAACTCTAGGAAAAGGACTTTGGGGTGCGCTAACCTGTAGGAGACAGGATAATGTCTTGTGAGTTAAGTTTAGGCTCTAAAAAGTTTCTTATAATTTTGTTTTGCATGTAACCATTTGTTTCCAGTATTCGTTCTTGCTATCATTTGAATGTCTGTTCTTTGATAATAAACGTATTCCTGTTTTCATTATAAATATATCTTGAGTATTGCATGTTAAGCAGTGTGATGATCTTGAGTTGAGTCTAGTCATCTGGTGAATACTAATCCTTTGGGAGCAGAGAATATGAGAGTTCTGTGAGTGTTCAGTTGATAAGGGGATGGGCGCTTCAGAGGGACACTTGGAGTCAGGAAGGAATTTGCCCCCCGGTCAGATTGGTAGAGACCCTGGGGGTTTTCGCCTTCCTCTGCAAGCATGCAGCACAGGTCACACAGGTTTAACCTAGTGTAAATGGTGGATTCTCTGTAACTTGAAGTCTTTAAATCATGATTTGAGGACTTCAGTAACTCAGCCAGCGGTTAGGGGGCCTATTACAGGAGTGGGTGGGTGAGGTTCTGTGACCTGCAATGCGCAGGTCAGATTAGAAAGATGATCATGATGGTTCCTTCTGACCTTAGAGTCTATGAGGACTCAGGAGTTGGTGTGTGCCTATCACTGACCTGTACAGAGATAGCAAAGCCTGGAAGGTGGTGCTTGTGTTGCCAGAAGCTGATGGAGTCAGGGAGCTGATTCACAGCAGGCACAGACAAGACTTCCTCCACTAAGGGCAGGTGGAAGTGATTCTGGATACCCTGGGAAAACATCACAATGAGTAAGCCCAATTGTAGCCTGGTTACAAATACTAAATTTTGTTTTTCATCTATTTGGTACAATTACAGATAAGTTTGTTTTCTATAATGTTTAAGTGGCTGTAATATGTTCAGTGTAAATGGTTTTAACTCTTATTTTTTTGTTGAAACTTGTTTTCACAAAGCAAGTGAAACCTTTCTTTATGCTACAAATGGAATACAAAGGCAGATGTTTTAATTCTGCACTGTCACTCAAAAAAAGAGGCTATCTACTGAGCTAAATTAGATTAAGAAATTTTGAACATAGTAGGAAAGAAAATAGGAAGCTAAAAATTAACTGTGTAGTGTATTGTTTTAGTCTCTCTCGTAATTATGATGGTCTTTACCATGATTTTGACATCAAAATAATGTCTCACATACTGTATATGAGTACTGTAACCTCTGGGGCAGAGGTGGAAATCTTGCTGCAACCATGTGAAATCTTGGCCTGCCATCTTCAGTGTTTGAGAGATCAGTGCAGTGATAGCAAACAATATCTTGACAGCACTCACTCTCTTTGTACCTTCGATCTGTTCTTTGAAACCATATTTTATATGGGAAATATGTGAGTGTGCATTAGAGGCAAGTATCTTTGAGACCAAAGTATTGTTTTTATATGAGAAAACGTGAAGATTAGCAGTACTTTCAATATTGAGCAAAAGAACTTAGATTCCTGTGGCCCAGGTCCTCAGCTGGTGTAAATCAGCATAGTTTCATGGAAGTCAGTGGAGGTATGGCAATTTATGTCAGCTGGGGATCTATCCCTATGAATTTTGCAATGTGTTCTGAATCGAAATGGACAACATTTTTTGACCAAAACTTTTTTGGGTAAAAAAATGCAGCTGTAGCGACAACACTGAAACATTTCATGAATTTGTGTTGATTTTGCTAAATTCTTTCAATTGGAAGGAAAAAAATAAAAGAAAAAACTGAAAAAAAATTAAATATTCATTTTTAAAATTAAATATTTTGATTTTTTACTTGAAACAACTTTCATTTGAAATTTCCTTTTTTTTAATTGTTTTTAATTGTAAAATGTTTTAAAATATACTCAAAATCCTAACCAGATGTTTCATTTTGAAAACATTTTATTCGACCTGATGCTATTTTTTTTCCAACTTTTTGATTCACAAAAAAAACTTAGAATAAATTTTTGGTTTGACCTGACTTATCAGGTCAATGACCTGATAACTATAAATCCTTTATTTGCCCATCTCTAGTTCTGAAGCTCTAAGTTTGTTTTTAACCATTTGTTCATTAAAATTGAGGTTTGTGTTTCTTGTCTGGCTATACTGAAAGAAGGACAGGAGACATTTGGCATGGGTTTAATCAGGCCGCAACTTTATTATTAGATGTCTGGGACTACCCGGCAGATAAAAGCGTACAGTGCAGGTAACCCCATGTTTATTCTATAATTCCCTGGAGGGTTTTTGCCAGCGCCCCCTCTTTTTCATCCTGCTTCAGACTGCTCTGTGTAAAAAGGAGGCTTCAGGCCCAGGGCTGCCCCTTTTAAGCCCTGCATTCCTAGGGGATGAGTCAGCAACCACACTGACCCCTTTTGCAACAGTTTTCATCTTCACCCCTCCATAAAGCACTGTTCCCTTCACTCGGCCAGCCAGCCAAATATGCCCCCCACCCCCTGCTTAAAGGTGCAGGGTGGTCGTTGTATGGGAACTAATCTAATTCTGTGCAGGACTTATTTTTCATAAGTTAGTATTCATAACAAGCTTCTAACATATCTGTAGCCAAAAGAAATGAATGCCTACAAGGAATGAGTTAAACATATAAAACATGACTAGCTGTATTAATTTTCAATTGCATTGCATTGAAAGAGGAACTTTTGATCAGTATTTTGATTCAATTAAATTTCAATGATCAGTTTTTATATTTATCTCTGATATTATTGCAGTAATAAGTAACGCACGGTGTAGTATGTTAACGTTGTGTGTAACTTTGCCATAATAAAAAGTAACAAAATAAAAACCTGAAGTGCTCAATGAGATACCATATACACATTCTCATGTCAGATGCTTACTTTTGTTACTTGTTTTTTTTATTTGTTTAACTATATGGATCATGAACTATATAAAGATGGCATAGTTTAATTTATGGCCCTATATTTCTTTGCATAGAATAGTCTGGTGATTTTAATAGATGAACAACTTAAATATTTAATGCAAACTTTCTTCCCTTTTTGAGAAGAAATATGCCTCATGCTTAAACCACAGATGTTTTGGATTTTAGATAGAAATATTCCATATATTTATATCCTTGTGTCACAACAACTTGCTTCATTATGAATACAACATTATCATAACATATACAGAAGCACTAAACCCCTTGTACATTACATTCAGAATGCATATTTATATCTAACAGAAAATATCCAATCTGTCCGTTCATAGTTTCACATATAAATGCTAGAGAGCTATACTTTGCAAGGCACATCACTGTGTTCACATCTGTGTGCTGGTGTTAAACTCCAGCATTTAAGCAAGACCTTAGACTATATTTGGCATAGAATGTGACATAGCCACATTGTTTAATCAGTGAGTATGAGTTTTAAAATACCCCTGTCTAACTTCAACTTTCGGTACATGTGTGCCCCTTATACCTCACCAAAAAGATGCTTTCATGTTCAACATCCAACTCAGTAGGTTGGTCCTCTAATTAGATTGCACCCCAAAGGGGCTGAAAGGCAATTGCATATGACCAATAGAGAATTCCCTCGAGGTAGAGGAAGTTCTCACTGGTACAGCTACACAGCAGCCAGACCCTTTGCCTCTTTTCCCCTACACCAAGATGTCTGGGTGTTGCAGAGCCCTGCACTGCCTTGGCACTATTCCACTAGCACAGAGTGCATTCAGGGCCTTAAGCCAGTGTTGGGGCTGACTCTGGCCTGGAGAAGAAGGCAGCCAGCTCCAGCTCCCTGATGCTTTCTTAAGCTGAGCAGACCGAGGTTTTCCTGTCTTGTCATGCAGACCATTGCTCGTTTGCTGTTTACTGTTTATGGTGAGTAACCTGCTCCCAATAACTTAGTGTGTGTGTGTGTGTGTGTGTGTGTGTGTGTCTGTGTCTGTGTCTGTGTGTCTCTGTGTGTGTGTGTGTCTGTGTGTGTCTGTGTGTGCATTATGTACATGCAACTGCCAGTTATTGTTCTGCTTTGCTTGCAAAGAGAACTTAGAATTGAATGGTTGGCTGCTGTTTAACTAATCTGCCAGAAATCCAATTATCTAACCTTATTAGTCACATCAGCAAGGGTTTAAATTGGCTCCACTTCCCCCAGCAGATGTGTAAACCTATAATGTGTGGGAAGAATATAGATTTTTCACAGAATTGTAATACTAGAACATGTGGCCTATTATTAATAGGCAACTCACACCAAATCTACTTTTATTTCAGTATCTATTGTTCTTATCTGGTGAAAACAGTCTTAAACAGCATGACTGTATTTACTCTTACTGTACTTACAATCTTGAGAAAGAACATAAGATCAGTAAAATTGTGCTCTGTCTTTAATGAACTAAGTTATAAGTTCCCAAATCGTGATATATGGAGATCTGGGCAGACAAGTAATGCTGCCTACTTCCCCTCTCTCATCTTTTGT